GCTTTTGTTCTTGTTGGTCTCTTTTAATTAGTTCTGACCAAAAGAAAGTTGCTCAAGACTTAACATAATGCAGGTAACAGAACAGCTGGGATTTGAGAGACAGGTTTTGCATTTGTGTTTGGTGGAATAGATGAGTTTTTAGAACAGAAAGTTGCTCAAGACTTAACATAATGCAGGTAACAGAAGGGTTGGGATTTGAGAGACGGGTTTTGCATTTGTGTTTGGTGGAATAGATGAGTTTTTAGAAGCTTACAGCAGAACGGGAATATTAGTCCAACATAAGGTGGCAATACAGGATTCTTCTGTAAGTATCTTTCCAGGGAAGTTAGGCACTCACAAAGTTGCAACAGGGAAGCCGAGACTGAACGAAAGACTTAACTAGCCTTTCTAAATCCAGTTTTTCTCTTACATCATAGAGGCAGAGTGGCTTGTTCAGGCAGCTTGCAACCGGTTTCCCTCTGCCATCTCTTCTGCTACAGCTGCAGCTGGGTCCTCCTTGCAACTTACAAACATATTGCTAACTTATTTTGAAGTGATAGAAACAACAATCTACTAACATTTCTAGGAAATAATTTCATAGCAGAAATTATGGCAGCAATATTTTATTTCTTTAAATGCTATCTCCTAAATATTACTGAAGTATCTACCTTGTTTACATCAAATGCATTGAAGTTCAGAGTTCAGAAAGCTAGAATTATTTTTTGTAATTATATATTATAAAATATACATTGCCTAAAGATAGATTATACTTAAATTTATTTATACATTACCTGAAGTTAGATTAAACTGACTTTCTGCCCTTTGAAATCAAAATGTTGAAGATTAATGTATGCATTTGTTTGCATTAGTATTTTTTTCTAACGGGGAAAAACATGAAGCCCTGAATCAAAACCCAGTAGACTTGAAAGTCCAAACGAGTGTTAGGGCAGAAGGATGGAGCTGTAAGACATAAATAAGGGACAATGTAGTCACTCGAAAGAAATCTGCAGAGTGAAAGCCTCTTACCATGATTAATATTAATAGGAACATTTGCTAACAGCTTTAAAATATCAAGGATTTCATGGGCATGAAGATGAATTCAGTACCTGGTTCTTTTAAGGCACTGTTCACAAATGGGTTTCAGTGTGAACATTCCCCTGTTCATAATGGTCTCTGTTATCCTAAAGACATGGCCCAAAATATCAGCTTGAATTGCTGGCAGCATGCAGCGCTAGGTTCTTGTTGTAGGATATATATTCATACACAGATGTACATGCACATATATATAAATGCATTATTTCCCATGTTGTCAAGGTGATAACCTTTATTGTTCCTCGCATTTCCCATAGAAACCTCAGGGGATGCTGAAGGAGTCAGTCTAGAAAATTACAAATCTCAGTCGTGCAGGATCTGCTTAAATATTTCCGTGATTTTGAATGCCCACTGTTAAATTAGGGGTCCATCCTCCCTTTTGTCAGTATTCCAAATTCTTAGTTTCGTGTACATGCAAGCTTATTTATTTAAACCTGAAAGATTAACGTAAGTGAAATCTATTGTATGAGCAAACACAGGTTTATCCATACACCATTTTATAAGGAAGTTTTTAATTACAGAAATCAGAGTGTCAAAAGAAACAGGTGCATTTCTAATAAGAGAAGGAGGCTAGGCTGGGACTCAAAATGAGGTTTTAAAAACATTGAGACTAGGTGGGTTTTTGCAAAGTGCTTGTATACAGTGAGCATACCAAGTCTTCGGAACTGGCACAAAGCTTATTGTTTCTGGTAAGTTTTTTAGTGTCTAAGAAAATATGCCTTATTCTGATAATCCAAAATATAGAGGAGAGGGAATGTGATATGCTATTTTAAAATTATAATACATATTAAAATACAGATTTAGAAGTAGAATACAGAAACATGATGTGGACGTTGCAGATGCAGAATTCATTTCTTTAGCACCCAAATACTTGTCAGGGTAAACTATAGGACTTCACATGAACCATAAATTGCTGAAATATAACTTATTTTGGATACTTAGGGCTACATCAGGTCATTCCCTTGTGCAAAGCTTACTACCCAGAGCAGCAGGGTCAGGGTAACTCAGAAACGTGGCTCTAGATCACCCCTTGGCCTCAGAGCAGGGGGAACAGAGGTGCTATACAGGAAAACATTGAGTGCCAACAGATCTCCTAAATCGCAGCTGAATCTCTGCATCTCTGTGGTCAAGGGAAAGGTCTTTCCCCATGGATTTGTCCTAACAAAGCTGATTTATTCCACCCAAGAGGAACTGAGCCCTCTTGGATGCTCTGCAGCACCGGTTAGCTGCAGGCAGACAATAAATAATTGGAAGATTAAAATGTGGGGGGAAATCCTGGATGTTTGGAAATGTTGCAATTGGTTTCAGTGTCGGCAGAATTTCGTTTGAGGTGCACATGATTTTCCCTGAGGAGAAGCCAGAAGGCCCTGGGGAAGGATATGCACAGGAATGATGGAAGTTGATACTTCTCTACAGCGTACATAGATGCACGTGTGATGTTTCCTTTTGGTACTGACTACCTGCAACAGTACTGCGTAGGCAAGTACGGCAGGATTTGAGGATGAACAGTCCCGATCCCACATCCACTTAAGCAGATTACAGTAACCTCAACATGAAGGGAATTAGGCCAAAAATGAGTAAATGCCCCTCCACTAGGTTTGAGAGGAGTTGTGGCTGTACAGGACTGCCTTTCATTAATACAGTTAAACAGTGGTCTAGCACGCATGTATTTTTAAATCGTGTGGTCAAAACCACTCACCATCCCAGAAAAAAATTATTTTTCTAGAAAAAAAGTCTAGAGAAAATATGGTAGCTCAATCAATGTCCCAGATAACAACAGTTCTGGTTTGTTTTGATACTTTTTATAAACAAGTGATGGCAAAGATTACCTTGAAACTGAATTTAAAGTATGTATCACTAAAGGCTCTTTGGGAATAGCAGCACTAGCTGAGATTGAATTCAAATTTTCTACATTCATGTAGCCAAATGAATAGACTTTTACTGTTCATATGATGGTGGTTAAATCTGGTTCTTGTTTGGCCAAAACATCCCAAGCAGTTTCTGTAAGAGAATGTACCTGTGTGGGTTTGACAAGATATTTGGTTCTGGCACAAAACTCATCGTCTCCAGTAAGTGTTTTCAAAGACTTATTTTTTTAAGTTTTGTAATGGGAAAGCTTTGGAGTGAAGGTTGACAGCTCTTTAAGCTATCTGGGGAGGCTCACAGTAGGTCAGGACTATACTATATTATTATCAATGATAAAACCTGAAGTCGCTGGCAGACAGGACAAGAACACTGTTTATGAGCTGAGTGTGCTGACTGCTCTCAGCTCGCACTGGCTTGAAGAGGAACTGAGGAGCTCTAAGTATCAGACAAAATTACTCCATTTTGTGGGATCATCCAAGTAATGAGAATTAAAATTTCACTTAAGAACACATTAACCTTATTTATAAATCTTGTTTGTAGATACATGTGAAGACACCGTAGGGGAGTTTCATTAAGAAAACTTTTGATAGTTAGTCTATAAAAACATATATTTTGAACCCAAATTTGTTAGTAGCTCATTGATTAACGAGCCTAACTCCAGAATTTTATTTGCACAATGTTTTGCAGGCTCACTGCATTATTACAAGAGAGAAAAGACAGATTTTAGCTTAAGAAATACCTGCACATGCTTATATATTGTTTTAAAAAGTATGTACGTACCTCTTGAAAACCTGCCTTAGAAAACTATTTAACAAAGTAAACAGCAAAATTTTTGAAAGTTTAACTGAAACAAAAAAAACCAGTGGAGTGGAAGTTCATGACTTTAAAATTCTTCTTAAAGGATCAGATCATTTGCCCAGAAAAGCCAATGTAAACTGTCTTGTTGATTTCAATGACTTTATAGATCAGCCTGAAAATACACCAAAATCTACAGCCAATTCTACAAGTTTGCATCCTTTTTTCCATAAACATACCTACAGTTTATGGAGATGGAGATTCCCCCCCCGCCCCAAACTTATACATACATATGTAAAACTTAATTTGTTCAGTTCTCCACTGTCATCCATTTACCTATGTGTGTACATGAGACTCTCCCATGCCTGCACACAGTTGCAGTTATTCAAGCTATATGTTTCCTCAGTATTGTGATATGATTTAGGTGTTTCATTTTAGCTAAGCACCTAGGGTCTTTTTATTGTAAATGGAAAGACATTGGCAATTCCAGAGGTGGAAATTATTCCATCTTAATAGAAGTCTCTAAAATGGGCAGGATGAACTAGCAGCTGGAAGCATCTCTCTCTGCCTCTCTATTTAGATTTAATAATCCAAGAGAATAACATCAAACTAGACGATTAAATTCTAGCCTAATTAAATTAGTCAGGGTAACTTACTAAGCTTTGAAAATCCAAAAGAAACATCTAAAATAGTCATGAGGCTTTGCAGAGTGCAATGTCACTGGGACAGGAGCTACATCATGGTCTTCTAAACATATACAACTCTGGAACAAATAAATAATTTTAGAAATTAGTTTAATCTTGCATCCCTGGGAGGACTGATGCACAAAGAGGATAAAATTAACCCCTAAATTAATGCTAGAGAACCATAAAATTGTTAGCAATTTTATTTCTGGTACAGCAGAACTCAGTCCACATCTTCATTTCAATGACAAACATCCAAAATGAAGGAAAATCATAATATAAGTGTTATCTTTTTGAAGGTAGACAGCCTTATGCTTTGGTCATTTTTGGTTTTAAACACCGAGTATGAAATACTTCAAAGAATCATGAAGTTGTTTTAGTGGGGATGCAATGTAAAAGATTGCTCTAGAATAGCCAGATCATTTAAAGAAAGGTGGAAGCTTTTTGACAAAATTACATGTTTATATTAATGAGTTTTCTCACAAAGCATGAAAACTGCACCACTCAGCCAGACCACACTTTAAACGCTGTGCATCTATCTGCTCAAATTCAGTGGCAGAGATTTACATAGGAATCTCAAGAGAAAGAGTGGTGTAAGGAGATGAACACCTAAAATCTCTCTGCTACCTTAAAAAAATAGTCTTAAGCAGTGCCTTCTATACAACAAAAGTCAATTTTGAAAGCTGTATCTAGTCCTCACTTGCAGTTAAGCATAGAGAAAAATGATTGCCCATGAGCACTGCCTATGCAGGCACTGCAGAAGTTCACATTTAACTAAAACAGACTTTTAAATTTATTATCCACTTTTATAATATCAAAACATCTTCTCTGTGTGGACAAAATCTGGATGGTTTGGACCCCTCTTAATAACATAAGGTTTAATCCTGAGAGGCAAATGAAATGGAGATTACCTACAGTTAGCTTGTGGAAACAGCTCATTTTTCATTAAAAATATATTAATGTATGTTCATACTGGGCTTGTTTCACAAAGCACATCACCTACGACAACCCTGCTATGGATAGATACGTTATTTGGATATAGAAATGTTATCTAGATATAGCATGTTCTTCGGCTTTAGTTTTGTTTTGTTTTTTCCTTTTCAGATGTGTTAATTCAAACATTTAAACGAATCTGGTATTAAAGGAACAGCATTGCCAACCTTCGGGGTCCAGAGCATTTTGTGACTCCATTTTCCTGTCTTTTCTGTATCTCACCTGGCAAATACATAGAATGTCTTAAAAAAAAAAAAAAAAGGCAAAAATAAATTTTTGTTGCCTTTCTTTCCCCCCAAAAACCCCCACAAAATTAATATCAGGTTTTAGAAAATTAATTAGATATAGCAGATGTTCATTAATTAGCAGTGGGGACTTATACTGGGGACATAAAACTACAAAGATTTGAAAGGTAGGTGGTCTACTTTTAACATTCTGTAGACAAAATTTTCATGTAATTGTTTTTGCATAAACATTATAAAGCAATATTAAATTTCTCTTATCAAATAAATGAGCAAAGCTCTTTCAGGAACTATTACTATTATTTAATAATTGTCAAAGACTTGTGCAGACAAATACACTTTCTGACAGCAGTACTGCTTGGAAGGCTGTGGGATATAGGCTCTCACGTAGTTGCCTGAAGTTTTCTAACTCGTTTTCAAGGTAGATTATTAATATCGTCAACAATATTTCAGTTCTTAAAGTTGCTAAAAAATTTTTTTTCAAACATTTTTGAGTAGGTTTCTAAGGTTTTAAATAACCAGACTTGAATTTATTTTTCTAATAAAATACTCAAGAAATCTTTTGTGAGGTACTTTTTAATCTACTCTAGTGTTAGAATGTCAAAGAGTAGACCTAGTCTACTCTGGTCTTCCTCTATCAGATGTGCTGCTTGACAAGAAGCATGAATGAAGCAGTCTAGATGTTAGTGTTCACTAAACAACTTAGAACTTAAATAATGTTTCTCCATGCACACAGCACAGTATCAAAGCTTAGATCAAACATTCTCCAGAGTCTGGAAGACTCTATATTGTCTAAACAAAGATGAGTTTAGAATATTTTAATTGAATCTTGTCTTCTGATTTTGAGCTTGAATTTCTGTACCATACTTATAAAAGCCTCTTCATTTTAGTTCTCTATAAAATAACACATTTAAAAATAAGGTTAAAAGCAGTATTTTCTATTCCCAATTATTCTAAATAGTATTGTAACTGTTTTTGACTGAAATTAAAACTTGCCCTTTGGGTCCATTGAAATAGCATTTAATATGAAGTGTGTTTGAATGCGAGGTTTGTCCAGCTCACCAAAAACTTATTTTTACTTCAAGGATGGAAACAGCTGTAATTCATCCATCCGATTACCTAAAATTCCTTTCATACATGAGACATTTCTATTCCCATCCTAAGTATTTCATAGCAAATTAGAGAGCTAAAACATTTGCTATGATGTTTAGGTTGCTGCTTTTCAGAATTTGTATTTTGTGGCTGTGTATTTATTTGTTGTACACTATTGATCTTCCAACTCTCCATTTTGCTATTTTTTTTCCTCCAACAACCAATCCAGACAAAGGAAATTCTCCACCGGCACACGCTGAAATCCTGCAGAATACACATGAAAATCTGACAACGTATGTTTGCCTTATTGAGAAATTCTACCCAGAGGTTATTCGGGTCACATGGACCGAAGGGGAAAATAAGGAGGTAACACAAAATGTAGTAAAAGGAGACGCTTTGAAGCTCGCAGGCAAGGATAAATACTCAATCAGCAGCTGGTTAACTGTACCAGCAGAGAACAAAGACAGGAAATATACCTGCAAATACGAGCACGAAAGCAAAGTGGATTCACTGTCAACACAAGGTATATACTACATGTTAAAAATTTAATTCTACGTGTTACTAGAGACATCACTTTTTCTTTGCAATAAAACTATAGAAATAATGCTTTCAATTACTGCTCTTGAAAGCTTCTGTGCTCTTCGGCACAACAATAGCTAAAATACACATCCGGAGAAACTACCGAAGTTTTCCCAGGAAAAGCAACCCAGCCTGTGCTATGCTCCCCCAGTGAACATCCCTTTGTAATAGGAAAACAGCAGTTCTTGAACCTCATCAGGTGTAAACTAGCATAGCTCCAAAAGGTCTCCACTGAGCCACATCGGTTACTTTCCAGTCTACAGAAGTTTCTGAAAACAGTATTACCTCTTTGTCACCCATGGCTTACAGGTGCAAGTCCCTCTGACACCCCCTCACATTAGTCACAGCTATAAAAAACTAAGGAGTTAAAAACAAGATTTCTGTGGATGTAGAGCAGAGTTTAAATATATTACTTACTCATAGTCCAGTAATAGTGAGGTAATAACCATGTATGAAAACAAGATATCTCATTTAATTGTGGAAAGATTGATTATGCAAAACAAAATCTGAAAGACAATGCAATTTTAAAGAAAAAAGTAACTTATAATCAATGCAAATTGTTTAAATCATGGTAATATCTTTAAGAAAAGCTGCCTGTATTGGTTTAGATTAATCTTTTCTCAGTACCGACCTCTGTTCAACTTACTATAAATTAACATAACTCCTATGGAGTGAGAGAGAGCATGGCCATAAATAACCATTACATTTCAATCTTCAAAATATATTCTGACAAAAATATGCTTTAAGTTTCTTTAGATGGAAGATGTATTTAGGGATGTAATACAGATGTCTTTAAACCCATGTATCAATGCATACAAACACCATAACCAAGAACAAACACAAATTCGCTGTTTCAAGCACAAAAAGGGTTTATTTTAGAGAACAACCACCACCAAAATAGCAAATTCCTGACAGGGGAACCTTAGATCATACTCTCCTCAAGATTATTCCTTAGTGTTGAGCAACCGTTAAGTAACAGACTAACTGAGGTCCCTTCTGATGCAAATTATTCCGCATTTCTAATAACAGTACATTGTGAAGGCAAACGGACTCCAGCTACTTCAGGCAAACCTCTCACTTAGGGCAACAAATACCCAGTCACTTCTCTACAAGCATTTCCCCCCTTCAAATTCTCTCTGCAAATGAATCCTACTTGTGAACATCTGCTATGCAGACAGCTCTTAAACATCTTTTTTTTTGTTGTTGTTTAATACTAACTTCCTATAGTACTAATATCACTGCTGCTGTACTGCCTCTTTTATTCCCTATTTCTCAATCCATGTTTGTTAAAAGTAAAGAAAAGTCTAACTGGGGCATTTCAACTTTCTTTTTATTAGATGATACAAAGCCTGCTCATCAGGAAGAGGACTGCATCACATATCCTGGAAACGGCACAGTTTTTAATGGAGGTAATAAAAATGTATTAAAATGTGGGAAAGCGATGCATGTCATGCAAGAGTTAGATATTGCTACATATGCTCAGAACATCATGGAAATGATCTTTCTAAATAGCATACAGGAAATCTCTTAAGTCCGGGGTCTGTAACTTAAAAACTTTTCAGTGCTATTCTGAATTACCTTCTGTTGTGGATTATAAGAAGGGGCTCTCCTATCTTTATTAGGTAGCTTTATTAGGATGCTACAGATGCTGTTCAGGCTACTAGATTATTAGCCCACATTAAATGCCACTTTTTTAAATACCTGAAGTAGTTAAATACTCAACGCTTCAGCTGATGCTCCATCAGCCTAGCAATTGCCCAGCACTTCGGACAAAGGAATTTTCTTTTAGCTTGAAAGGAGATTTAGGAAGAATCATGAGCACTTACGTTCAAAAAATCCAACACAAAAGGATTCAAACAAACACAGTGCTACCAGTAATCAGTGCTGGAAGCACTAGAATTATGTTCTTGCCTTTACAGGGGATAATAACCCAGTGACATTGAGAGGCAGTCTAGTGCTAAGAAACCTGCTCAGTCTAAGACTTATTAGCAGTGCAAACCCACTCAAAGGACAGTCAGACACTGTATGTGTTTATACATTGTCCACTGGAATCAACGTAATTGCAGCTGTAAACAGACTACACAGTCCCAGTTCCACCCATCTTTTAGGAGGTTGTACAATATTGACATTAAACAAGACTTTTATGTCTTATGTTTATTACAGATCACTTAATGCACAGGACAGCATATTTAGTGTACATCGTCCTCCTTCTGAAGAGCTGCATGTACTATCTCATCGTACTCTTCTTCATCTACAGAATGTGGGCTCCAACCAAGCACCGACGAAAGAAAGCATAGATGCTGGTTTAGGAAAAGCATACAAAATCATCTTCAATTTGCTTTGCTATATACTTACCCATATAGACTCCCCTGCTCTCAGTGTTAGATGTAACAACAACAAAAAAATCCCAAAATAATTTTCTCGCATTGGTACACAGGGCTTGTTTTGCTTTACTGCTAGTGTTTTTGTATCAATCTGGCTTTCCTAATTTTTTTGAGTATTAAATTGAGGTGGGCAATAGGAGTAAGCTTACATACCTTGGATTTCAATCTGAAATCCATGTTGCAAAATGAGGAAGATACTCATGTTAAAAGTAGTTAGGCATGCAGAAGTCTAGAGGTGTAATGGGGCTTTTGACATATAAAGCACAGATGCATTTTTTCATTGCGCTTAAGGCTTAATTAGAAGCATTCCTGTACTGTAAATTCACAGGTATTTGTTCACTTTTACTTTCAATGATTTATTCCAACTCTTATGTATCCACCAAATCAGGACTTAAATATTCTGAAGTGATGTGTGCTTTAAGAGTCAATTAAAAACAATTTTAAAAAGTGAACATAATATTTTTGAATGAACAAGTTAGACGAGCATGAAATTCTAAGGCGCACACATACAGAAATGGAATAAATCCACCAGGCCCCACACCAGCACTGTGACACAGTCTGAAAACCTGCACATTGTATTTTTAAAGAAATAAAACAATTGTAACGATCATGAACATCATCTTATTTAGCGATATCTTTTTAAGTTGAGCAAAACCTTAAATCTGAAGCTTTGATAAAGTGTTTTCACAATAGAGGAAAAATTCTCAGATGTTGGACTTTGAACTCTTCATCTCCAAATTCCACAAATCAGTTCCTTTCAAATTTCTGTGGAAAAAACGGAAGTAGACATATTGGGGTAAAGCATTTGCTCAGTTTGGGGCAAAACACTGCCATAAGTTTGTAGATAAATGCCTGCAGCATTTACGCTCACTCTATCTATAATGATGTAGAGGGCAATAAAAGCTTTCCTCCAGGTGCATTTGTGAGGCCTGTGTTTGTTCTCCAACATTTCCACAGCATGTACCAAGATGGCTAGAAAACCTGATTCATTTCTCTGTTCGTATAAATTCTTCTGGAAATCAAAGATCCTTAAAAGCATCAGTTTTCTGCTTTTCAATGTATTAAGCAGGAAGACAGAACAATAAAAGCTATGTTCTTGCATCTTTTCTGTTGAAGAGCTAAGCCAAGCCAGGGGGATATGCAGTGCTGTTACAACAGGACTGCCTTCTAGGGCCCACGCCATCGTAAGGGAAGTCAGGCTCAGTTCTAACAACCACAGCTATTTTACTAACAGCGTATCTTACAAGCTATTTTACAATCTGCATATTAAAGCCAATGCAACTAATTACTGCCTTCAATGTCATGTTACTCTTCAATGCAAATAAAGATGTGATGTCTAGTCTTTAGTCAAACTCTCTTTGAGAAACAGCTGATATCCCATACTATTATTTGCTAAGGCTTGGCTCCAAAATGAAATAAAATAGCTACAAATACAAAGGTATTTTTGGAATCCCGTTACTTTAGATTTCAGTAGCATCACCGGTATTACTGTCCTAGTCTCCCCTGCCTTTACCCCTGCTAGAGAAACGCTTGATTGCATTAATGAACCAAGATCTCTTTCACTAAAATGATCCACTTGTCCTGTCTCATACATGAAATTGAAAGATGCTGTCCATGCAGCACAGGAAAAAGAGAGAGAAAACAGAGCTTTTTAAGCTTTTGTCACAAACCCCCCTGCCAACATGCAACCCTAAACCATGCCGAGCATAGCTATCACCTCACAGTTTCTGGCGTTTCTCAAGTACATGGTTGCAGGTTTTACATCTGCAACAGCTCACACGCCCCTGAAGTTTATTTATACAGGCATATGCTGTTCATACTAAGTTTTTAATTTTTATTTATTTAGCCCGAATAAGAGAACAAGTGGATTTTTAAGGCTTCTGCGTGCTGGGGCATTTGTTTGCAGGAAGGTTTGGTTATTTAGTGGAAAAACCCTGTAAACAGAACCAGTCATAACTGGTTCAGAGGAGGTGGGCTGCGATGAGAATGGGTGATAAGATGAGGACAGTTAGACCACAGCCGTCCTGCCTTTTACCACAGTATACTTTTAAACCATTTCCTTCTAATGGAAATACAAAGTGATAGAAACCACATGCCTAAGTTACATGTAAATAACACAGTGAAACTCACTGTTTGCTACGCATATTGGTCTAACTGCATACTTGTGATATGTATGTGTAGGGGCTATTGCTACCACAAAAACATGGGTGCTGCAGGATGTCTGCAGGACTTGCAGTCTTATTTATCATGAGTGCACACCAGAGTTAGATGTTATCTGGCGTTACTAAGTGTAAACTTCTGTTTTCAGGACTTTGTGAATGCTTGAGAGACATGTCTTCTCAAGTACATATCCTACCACAACTGATTTTCAGTGATTTCAAGCTTCTACAAGTATGAGCATTAGAGCTGCTCTACTGCTGTTACAGAGTTGCAGAATTAATGCAAATACTACAAAAATGGTTGCAGGCAATCTGGTGCTTCTAATGAAAAAAGACAGAACAGATCAACTTTTGCCATGAAAGCACAAAGGAGTAATCAGCACAAATGAATTTATTTGTGGAAAGGGATTTGCAATGCATTCTTTATCTTGCTAGAATAATTTTGTGTCCTATACTGTACAACAACTTACATGCTTGAGAATATTGACTTCTCAACTATCAAAATAACCTACAACAGGTAGTATGGAAAACTACCTGCGGATTCCTCTCACATGTAGTTGTAAATGAGAAAGATCTGCATAAGGATTATAGCAGTGTGCCAACAGCTAACTTCTGTTGATACTAGATAAGAACACTAATAAATTTTAAGAGAGATTCAAATAGTGGACTACTCAGTTTGAGATTTTGAAACTGCTGGGGCACCAGCACACACTTAGAAAGTGCTGAGGAAATAAAAAATCTCAGAGGAATAGTTTGAGAATTAGTTCCTCTGCACCTATAGATATTTACAGAGAAATAGACTGAATGACAATTAACAACAAATAATTGACAATTACCTAGTGAGTCAAAAAAAATGATTAAATATAGTTCCACCATAGACAGGCTTTACTTCATTGTATTACCAGTCTCTTGATAAGGTACACAAGACAACACTTTCCAGTAATTACCTAGTTCTTGGAAGATTAACCTCAGGAACTACTGAATACGTTGGACAAATATTTTCATACCACCTGGGACACAACCTAATACACATATGTCAAGAAGATACATCTTTGTGAGATATTACAGCACATGGGAACCATTCCCTTTGTTTTCTAATGAATAAACTCTCCTGCCAGCAGCTCCACCAGCAAGTCAGCCACAGAGTCTGTTGCCACAGTTTCCAAATCCCAACAACTTCCCCCAGAGATTTTCTTTTACAGAAGTCAGGATGAATGAAGATGAGAGTCAAGTCAACGGATAATGAAAACGGGAAGGCTCAAAAGAAAAGGACATCCACTGTTCCCAATGAGCACTAGAAGATTTCAAATCAGAAGTTTCAGCTTCTCAAGAAGATTTCATTCCTCCCCCAGCTGGAGCTTTGCCCTTTGTGGCAAACTGAATTCATGGGGCAAGATAATCCTGAAAAAAAATGAAGTAATTCCCAAAATGAGGAAATCATCTCTCATATTCAACCAAAACGCACTACAAAAAGATGCAGATCTCTGCTGTGACAAAGTGCTCAAAGGCCCCCAAAAGAAAGCTTAGGCGGTCACAGGGCTATGCGCCCAGAGACAGCTCCTGTGGGAGGCACTGCTTTGCAGGAAGGTGGTTTGATGGATTAGTCACTTCAGGGAGACTTTTCCTTTCTTTTCCTGGAATAGCATAACTGCCTATCATTCTGAGGCTCAAATTGTAAAATAAAAAAGCAGGAATAAACTGTTTCGAGGCTGATTTTGTACATGCTACTAGTGCAATGATTAATCAGCAACCAAGACTTCATATCTAGTCCCTTCACCTTTAATATGAAATCTCTAACCATTTCCATGTAATTTCATTTCTCATTCCCATAAAGGGTGCTTGAACCAACACTATTTGCTTGACAGCTGGGGCAGACTAGTAGAAAGAAAGTGCACAAGCTGTTACTGAGGCTCAAGAGGCAGCTCACTGAGCTCAGAGCAATGCCAGTCACAGGCCCCTCACCATCACTTGCAATATGAGGCACGGTACTGAATGCACATGCAGCATTAACCTGGCTAAACTGCATTGGACAACATATTAGCTGTTGTGGTTTAGTCC